TACGGGGAGCTGGGCGGGGGGACACTCCGGGGGTGTCCGGTGTGTTGGGGCAGAGGGGAGAACGCGGGAGATGGAGCGGGAAAGGCAAAGGAGGATCTGAGGGGATGTATCCCCACATGGCAGGGGCTTGGGGCCGTCGCGACAAGTGTCTTCACCCTTTTACCTTCCAGAGGACCAGGTGAAAAAAACACCACAAAAATCTAGTCTTTTAATTTGAGTGTTTTCTCCTTTATCTGCTTTACCCTTCCACTGATCGCACCCATCTCTGGAAATCAAGGATCCAAGCACGATCGAGAGTTTTGTTCTGAGGAAAAGGTGCGATAACGAGAGCTCATCCGAATCTCCTCACACCCCCAAGGCCTCTGCAGCCTTCCCCTGACTGATTGCCCGTACTGATTGTACATAGTTTCCAAGGGATTTTAAAAAAACTTAAATCTGAAATCTCATTTGTAGAGTAAATAACACACAAACTCTCCGTCAACACAAAAATTCACCCAGGTGCTCCATTTGGCATCCCTCTTAGCTGCCAAAACACTAGTTATTGTGATAACTTTGTCATGCTCAGTGACCAAGTTCTACATCTCAGAGTTTAAATACTGCTAGTTTTAAAGCTTGTTACTTCTCATCAGACTAATGCGCTATTTCATGAAATTCTTACAGAGAATTTTAAAGCAGCATTTTAAAACCTGACCTTTATATTCGCTATATGTAATGCAAACAGTGTGCCTGTCCTTGCTAGCGGGACATCTCAGCCTTTTTGTTGTTGTTGTTGTTTTCTTCTGTTGTTAGTTCCCTTTTTTCACACTTAGATAATATAATTGCTCATGTCTGTGGCTTTATCTTTTATCTTTCTTCATTCTGCATCACTTTGTCCAGACAAGAAAACAACGGAGCCATTAAAAGGACTTATGTCATCATGTGTCACTGCTTTTTGGTTGACACCAGAGGGTTTCAAACTCCAAAACACAGTTGCTTGACCATCAGTCCCATCTCTATGCAATGCAATGGAAACCTGTGAAACACAGGGATCTCTTGTGACTTGTAAAACTACAGGCAAAAGCTATTACCCCCTTGCAAATTATTACTTGAATACGAGCCTCAAAGTGTTCAGCTTGGTTTTTTCACTCATACCTATGTGTATGAAGTGAAATTAAAGTTGGTGTATCAATTAAAATATATACTGACTCTTATCCATTTAATCAGTTACATACTTAGACAGTGGAGATGACAGACTATATCACAAATCACTAAGCAACCATAAACACAAAAAGCCTTGTATGACTCATTTAATCACTGCCAGGCTCACATCTTGCTTTTCATTCTGTTTTCAAATGAGTTTACTTGTTCTTTCTTTTTTTCTTTCTTTTTCCTTTCTTTTTTTTAAAATTTTCAGTTAATTAAGTGCTCAGGGTTAGATTTTTCTGTGTTGCTTTTCTTGAAATGATTTATTTAGGTCTTTCTTCTTATTTTTAGGCAGTTTTCTGTGTTGCTGAGTGATGGGGAGATATGTAATGTTTTATCCAAGCAGAGATCATTCCTGTTGAAAATAATAACTAGGAAAATATTTTCATCAACCTGTTTCTTACTGGCATTTAATAAAAAGGCCATTGTTTCCATTAGTGGGAATTGTAAAAGATATTAATCTTAAGTATGCATTTCTTTGCTCCTAATCATAATTATTCTGGATTCCTTGATAAAGGACAAAAAAAATCTGAAGGACAAAGAAGCCACGAGTGACAAAAACTGTTTTGTTTGGAGAAAAGTTTAGAAACTGCACAGTGTATTCAGAGAAGGTTCAGGGTCCTTGAACTTTTTGGGGTTTTTTTTTAAATCTTACCTTGTTCCTATTCCTTCTACCCTGATTGAACTCAAGTCAGTGTATCTAAGGTTTATCGTAGAATCACAGAATGGTTTGGATTGGAAGGGACCTTAAAGCTCATCCAGTCCCAACCCCCCTGCCATCAGCAGGGACACCTTCCACTAGACCAGGTTGCTCAAAGCCTCATCCAGCATGGCCTTCAACACTTCCAGTTTAAAAGTAGTTTAAAATTCCTAGGTTAAGAGATAATTTCAGAAATGAGGGAATTGAATTGGTTTTAAGCATGTACTAAATTCATAGTATGTGTAGGAACCTAAGATGGGTGTTAAAAATGGCTTGCTATTTAAAATGATCCTCGAGAGTGGTTTTAAAATTCCTGTAATATCTGTTAAGACTTTTAATTGTGTAGGTAATGAATATGCAAATTCTATAGGCATTTGATACTTGTAACAAAAATAAATCTTTAAAAATCTGTAATAATTTCAGTAACTGAAAATGGCTGGGTCAGGTAGAGGAAGAGGACGCGCTGCGTTTACCTTCAACATCGAGGCTATTGGCTTCTCTAAAGGTGCAGCTCTGCCTGATGTCACGTGTAAGCCTCCACCACCATTCCCTGTAAGTACAAGTATTTCAGGGCACCCTCACTGCGTTCAGGTAAAGTGTATTCATTGTCGTGTTTAGATAATGTGATGAAATACATGAACACCCCTAAACACTTTAGGTTAGTTTTGAAGTGTTTAGTGTAAATCATTGTTTTTCTTATTATTACTTCCCATCCCTTTGCTGACTGTTGTAACCTGTATTTAACTAGGTTGCTTGCGAGATGTTTGCTCGTTAAAGTCCTCATCATTATTCGGTTTTCCAGACATTACAGTAATGGAAACACTGAATATCTGAATTAGTTTGAAATGAAGTTACAGTAATCTTTGAAGTGTGTGAATGGATTTGCTGATTTTAGAAATTTGAAGTTGATGCAAGCACAAAAGATTTTGGAAGATTATCTTGTACCTCAGGAGCCAAAATTTGAAAATAATTTGAAAGTAACTGAAATATATTTTATGTAATTGAGAAAATTTAATCACATTAGGCATTTGGAATATATTTGAAAATTAAAAAGGGAAGAAAGCATTTTGTGACTGAGTTTTGCTGTGCAGGAAAGCTTGGACAGCTTTGAGGAGGAAAGGTAGTCTTACAATGGTGCACGTTTATATAAGGGAACTTCCCAGTTATGTCAGGATTTTGTCAAGGTGCATGAAGTTTTTCTCAGTCTCACGTGTTAGGATACAGAACTTTTCAAGCTTGGCATATAAGCTTGATTTCTCAAGCTGAGATTTCTCTGAATAGTTGTTTCACCCAAGGTTTTGACATGAGCTAGTGTTATATACCTGCTTAGTCCATCTTTACAGCTAAGTTGTGTGATTTCATTGATAATAAGCCATCTGTAACTGTTCCCAGTGTGACTGTTGCAGTCTCCTTGGTAGCACAAGGAGACAGAATTCTGTGTGAACTACAGCTTCTGCAGTTACAGTCAGCAGTGGGTCAGCCTTGCAGCAGAATTAACTACGCCCAGTATATCTAATGTATACCATGGAGAAGTTAAAGATGCTTTCTTCCTTCTGTGAACAAAGTTTCAGAACTAAGTTGAACTTTTCAGGGTAAAACTAATGCCATTCAAAAAAAAAAAGTCAATGTTAACCCAGTGGCATAACTAATATTGATAAAAATTTCAAGAACTAGATTTAATGATTGGGCAGTGACCAAAAGTATATTACAGTTATTGACTGACTTACACTGAAATTATTTTAATCAGTGAGTTGTTGCTATTATATTTTTCTGTTAGCCAGTGTTTTGAGTTCTTCGAATTTCCAGTAAATGCAATTAGAAACCCAATTAAGGAGCATCAGCTTACCATCAGCTACATTAGTGATTTTAAATGTTGGCCAGCTAGCAAGTACAGCTAGAAGCAGTAAACTCCTTTCATGATCCAGCCCTGGGATTTGTGATAGCGCTTTGTGCTTTGCCACCTGCCCCTTAGGTATTGAACGTGCACCGTCTGTCTGTGAAAGCAACAACATCCATTCTGTAATTCTGTCTCTGGCTCTAGTTTTCTCTACATTTTTAAAGCTGTTTTCACTTATTTGTCTTTTCCAATTTCAAGATTGATAGTTCAAAAAAAAAAAACCCAAACAAAACCAAAACCCCAAAATCTAAACCTTAACAATCCATTCCAATTGAATTGATAGAAAATGAATCATGTGGGGGCCTGTGTGCTACCTGGTTGTATGACAATACAACTTGTGTCTCTGTCAGCAGTCAAGGAAAGTCCATGTTATTCAGGGTAATCAAACTTTGTGTGGTTAAAACACTTGTTTTAGAAGAGGTTAAAGCCAGCACTACTCTGACTGAAGAGAGAAGCAATGGTTTCTGAGTAAGTTAGACTGGTGTGAAAAACTGCTTTGGGCAATTAAGAGCTTAACATGACTGAATGACTATTTCACAGTTTTAATACTTCTTTTTTTTTTTTTTTTCTTGATTTCTTGATATATTTTTGCAGAAAGATAACAGCAAAGTCATAAAAGATATACATTTAGTTGTAAATAGAGTTATGCATGTCAGAATGCAATGAAGTGTACTTGCAAAGTAGCATAATGCATAATTTTGATGGATATTAAGACCTTATAAGTAATAAACATAATTTGTACAGAGTACAGATAATAAGCCAGTGCCTCTGAAAACAGGAGAAGATGAAGATTACATGTTGGCTCTAAAACAAGATCTTAGAGGAACTGTGAAAAAAATGCCATATTTTTTGGCAGTAGAAGAAGATAATGAAGGTTTGTTTGTGTGCCTTTTATTTTTATTTATATCTTCAGTACTTACTATTCCTTGAAGGATGATGTAGTTAAATGCATGTGTTGAAGATGTATTTTTGTACTGAAAATGAAGGATAAAAATTGGCAGCTTAAGATAATAGGGAATTTTTCTGCTTTTACACTTACTGAAGTCCTAGGTCACACCTACAAGTGCTGTGACTGGAAAGCGACTACAATGTGAAAAAGAGAGATACCAAACTTCTACGCTATTTGATGTACAGTAAGAAACATTTTGACCAACTATGTGCACTTTTCAATTACATGCTAACCAATACAAGTGAAATAGGCATTTCTACACATTAAAATACCTAAAATTTTGCATTGTAACAGATAAATCTGTAGTAAATACCTGTGTTGAAATTCAGCTTCCGTTTTAATTTTGTAGAGACATACTTAAAATAATCAATTTAATAGCTGGACATTCTAAAAGGTGCTATTTCCACCCCCC